ACCAGTGGCCTTAAACCCCCAGCAGACTCTCCGTTCTAAAGCAATGGATCACTCCCTGCAAATATTAAGCACTTTATAAATGTCACATGGGAAAAATGTGTGCTTCAGCGGAAAATTAGGCATCATGCAGAACACGCTCTTCCAGGTTATCTCACCATGATGCTGGGGGATCCTTTCATTGCCTTTGAGCAGTTTTTATGACTCTGTACATTGCGGACAACTGATAGCAATGCAAATAATTCTTGTTTACAGACACACAAACAAATTCTGTCTTGTATAGAGGCTTAATTGACCTCCTTCCCTAACCCCCAAGAGAAAACCAGTGTCAACATGCTTTTATTCCATATAAATTTGTGCTTCTTTGGCTCTCATTTGAGCTGGTTGTAACATATCAATGGCTCCTTAGTAACGACCTAGCCAGGGGCACCTGGGTGCTCAGTCAGTTGGGCGTCTGCCTTCTGCTCAGGTTATAATCTCAGGGTCCTGGGATCAAACCCTGCATCCGGCTCTTTGCTCAGTGGGGAGTCTGCTTCTCCTTCTCCCTCTGAGCCTCCCCGCTGCTTCTGCTCTCGCTCTCTCTCTCTCTCTCGCTCAAATGAATAAATTAAAAATATTTTAAAAATAATGAGTTAAATGAAGTCTTTAACATGTGTTCATCTATATCTATGTGGGAGACATGGTTTTAGCTTTCTTCTCTAGTTCTCAGGTTAGCCACTGATCCCCAATAGCATTTATCCTCTCCTTTCAATTGCCTTTAAAAATAAAGTGTTGTGCAGCAAAGGAAACTGTTGACAAAACTAAAAGGCAAACTACGGAATGGGAGAAGATATTTGCAAATGTCTTATCAGATAAAGGGCTTGTATCAAAAATCTATAAAGAACTTACCACACTCAACACCCAAAAACCAAAAAAATCCAGTCAAAAAATGGGCAGGGGGTGCCTGGGTGGCTCATTTGGTTAAACGTCTGCCTTTGGCTCAGGTCATGATCCCAAGGTCCTGGGATGGAGCCTCACATTGGGCTCCCTGCTCAGGGGGATGTCTGCTTCTCCCTCTGCCCCTCCCCCTGCTCATGTTCTCTCTCCCCCCCCAACTTTCTCAAATAAATAAATAAATAAAATCTTCTAAAAAAGAAAGAAAGAAATGGGCAGAAGATATGCACAGCCATTTCTCTGAAGAAGACATCCAAATGGCCAACAGACACATGAAAAAATGCTCAACATCACCCAACATCAGGGGAATACAAATCAAAATCACAATGAGGAGCCGCCTCACACTGGTCAGAATGGCTAAAATTAACAAGTCAGGAAACGACAGATGTTGGCGAGGATGTGGAGAAAGGGGAACCCTCTTACACTGCTGGTGGGAATGCAATCTGGTACAACCACTCGGGAAAACAGTACAGAGGTCCCTCAAAAAATTAAAAATAGGGCTACTTATGACCCAACAATTGCACTATAAGGTATTTATCCAAAGGATACAAAAATAGTGATTTGAAGGGACACCTGCACCCCAATGTTTATAGCAGCAATGCCCACAATAGCCAAACTATAGAAAGAGCCCAGATGTCCATTGACAGATGAATGCATAAAGAAGATGTCATACACACACACCCACACATATACACAAAATGGAATTTTACTCAATCATCAGAAAGAATGAACTCTTGCCACTTGCAACAATGTGGATGGAACTAGAGGATATTAGGCTAAGCAAGATAAGCCAGTCAGAGAAAGACAAATACCATGTGATTTCACTCAAATGTGGATTTTAAGAAACAAAACAGATGAACATAGGGGAAGGGAAGGAAAAATAAAATAAGATGAAGTCAGAGAAGGGAGTAAGCCATAAAAGACTCTTAATTCTAGGAAACAAGCTGAGGGTTGCTGGAGGGGAGGGGAACTAGGGTCACTGGGTGCTAGGCATTAAGGAGGGCACGTGATGGGTGTTATAGGAGACTGATGAATCACTGAACTCTACCTCTGACACTAATAATATACGGTATGTTAAAATGAATTTAAATTTTAAAAAACAGATAAATAATTAATCAATTAAAAAATAAAGTGTTGTGCAGGGGCGCCTAGGTGGCGCAGGTGGCTAAGCGTCCAACTCTTGCTTTTGGCTTAGGTCGTGATCTCAGGGCTGTGAGATCGAGCCCCTTGTCAGGCTCTGTGCTCAGCAAGGAGCCTGCTTAAGACTCTCTCTCCCTCTCTCCTGCCCCCCCTAAATAAATAAACTTTTAGAAAATAATTGAAAACATAAAGGGTTGCAGAAATGCCCTCAGAAAAGTGACATATGAGCCCTGGGAATAAGAAATAAGAGACAAAACAATAGGGTCAACAGTAGCTAGGCTCCTGCAGGTGGGAGAGGGCAGGTGGAGGGAGCAGGGCAGGTGACTTAGAAGGCCACCTGACAGGAGCTGGGACCTCAAATAAGAGGAAACAACCAACCTGGCAAAGAGAGAACAGAAATGAGTATTCTGACCTCACTATCCTCCCCTCTCCCTTGTGGCCCGGGCCAACTGGATGCAAGAAAGTAAGAGAGAATGGATCCAGCCATCTGTGTCAGCCTCCAGGGTCCAGCAGGGTAGAGGGGACATCCCTGTCATTCAGACAAACAACAAAGGCATTTGGGGTGGGAGTTAAACTACCCATAGCTCTGTATTAACACGACCCTACTATTCCATTGTCTTCATCAAAATAACTTTACTAGTACTCCAGAAGATTCTTGCCCAGGAAGACAAAAGTTGAAAGGTGCGGGGTTGGGGGGAGGGGGGTCTGGGTGGCTCAGTTTTTAAGCATCTGCCTTTGCCTCGGGTCCTGACCCCAGGGTCCTGGAATAGAGCCGCACATTGGGCTCTCTGCTCAGCAGGAAGCCTGCTTCTCCCTCTCCCACTCCCCATACTTGTGTTCCCTCTCTCCCTGTGTCTCCCTCTGTCAAATAAATAAAATCTTTAAAGGGGAGAGGGGGTGCTGGGTGGCTCAGTTGTTAGGCGTCTGCCTTCAGTTCAGGTCATGATCCCAGGGTCCTGGGATCGAGCCCCTCATCAGGCTCCCTGTTCAGCAGGAAGCCTGCTTCTCTCTTCCCACTCCCCCTGCTGTTTTCCGTCTCTCTGTCAAATGAATAAATAAAATCTTTTTTAGGAAAGGGAAGTTGTGAAGGACTTCACTGTTCATCCCAGGAACTTCCTAGGAAGCATCAAAAGACATCTTTATACCCCCAAGGCTCTTTGAACCCCTTGGCTGGAAATCCATGCTTTGCTGTATCCACCAACCCAACGATTTATTACATCGTGATCCCTACTCCTCCTAACCAAACCCATCACATCCCCCTTGAAACAACCGTCTTAAACCAGGCTTTGAAGTCTCAGTAAATACCCCAACTCTGTCCTCCCTGGGAGAGACACAGAGGCCTTGCAGAGCGGTGATCCCCCCTGCCACAGTGATCACGGAGCTCAGTCCCACGGTCTCACCGCACTATTGGGTGATGTAGAGGAGACCCCATTCAACAGCAGGAAAAGCTATTTGGAGGCAACTGTATGTGAGCCTGAATTATTCAGGAAGATTTCCTTCCTGCTCTAGTTCCGTGGGATGATGGCAGAAATACTCTTTTCCTTTTGCCTATGTGGTACAAAATCAAGAGTTTGGGGGCTGGCAGGAATTCAGGACATGATCTAATCCCTTCCTTCCTTTATGGATGAGGTCGTGGGGAGGCACAGAAGCGGTCAGCCAGGACACGGTCTGAATCCAAGTCCTGTGGCTCTAGGCCAGCGGCCCTGCACATGCAACTTCTCTCCCCAGCCCAGTCACTTTGAACAATCAATTCCTGCATGCTGGGCTCTGTGGCTTGGGACATGCACTCAGGGGCCAGGTCACAGTTTCAGATATCTGCCCCTTTGCCACCTGCCCCTGGGAAGCAGATCCTGAGCTCCACATTCCTTCCTCAAGAAAGCAATGAAAGGGCAGAAAGCCGAGACCAGTCTGAGAATTCCCAGCTTCCCCTCTGGTTGCTCAACCATTGCAAACAACACAGAAGCCTATAGGTGACAACCGGACCATGGAGCAGAGGTCTTTCTGGACAGGTGCTGGAGGAGAGACGATGAGAACGAAACAGGTCCCCATGCCACAGAGCAGCAGAGAGCCCCACACCTCCTAGGACCACAGGGACGAGATGGAGGGACTGCTCAGGAGTGAGCTGGGGGACCATTCCCTAGACCAAATGGCCGGGCATACATAGGTCTTGGCACCATTACGACCCCAAAACTTAAAAAAAAAAAAAAAAGTGGGAAGTTGTTACTATCGATAGAGGAGCAGACAGTCAGAGCTGATAAGGCTTTCTCCCCAGAACTGGGTCAAGAGGACAGCGTCTCTTCCCTCTCAGCCTAGACTGATCAAACTCCTGACCAAACTCCTGGCCACTCTAGAGGGTGACTTATTACCCTGGGGTTGTAAGGAACCCTTCCACAAAGAGCAGTCCGGAGCAAAAATGATGCAGGAATGATGGATGCCCTTGTTGCATTTAAAATAAGCCCTGATCTCCCCAGCAAATGGAGGGGGTTAAGCGGGGGGGGGGGGGGGTCTTTGGGGGGGGGGGGGCAGGGAGCACATGCAGCCTCACTGCCTCCACCTCCAACCCCAGCAGCTGGTTGACCCTGGTCTGACTCCACAGGTGTTCCCTTCCCCCTGCTGGCTGCCCTCCAGATCTCAGACTCCAGACTTTCAAAGGGGGGAAGGAAGGAAGGAAGGAAGGAAGGAAGGAAGGAAGGAAGGAAAAAAGGGGAGGGAAAGAAGGGATCTAAGAGAATGGAGTTGGGAACGGTGGGGAAGGAAAAACCCAAGAAGAGAAAACACAATGAATAACTAATTATGAACTTGTGGCACCTGTGTCCTCAGGGCTGTGGGTCGACTTTTGCCTGGCTGGGCCTCTCACAGGGGCTCAGGAGGGCAGCGTGCATGATCCCCTCAAATTTAGAGCTCCAAATGAAATGCTGAGAGGCACAGACCTGTGTTTTGAAGACAACGCTCCACCTTCAACTTGAAGGGTGTCGCCATCTTGAACGACTGCAGCCGTGACACCCTTCAGCTGGTACCATTCACAACTTCACTGAGGACTGTGGCCAGTGTTAGTGGCCTAATCTGCGGAAGACAAACATTTAAAATAAATCACAAATTTTATAGTGCTGTTTGAGTTCTACTCTGTTTTTTTAACTGACAGAGGACCTTTAAAAACAGAGGTGACCCAAGTCTACCGTAATCCCTGAGCAGCCCTGATGCCACCTCCCTAGTCTCAGACCCTGGAGGACACCCACAAGAACAAGGAAGGCCCCACCAAATGCTTGGGAAGGAAGTCATGGCACCATAACTGCTCAAGAAAAAATTGTTCTGGCACTTGTTAAAATAGTAAGGAAGATTTTATTTAAGGCTGTCGTAATAGGTATCAAGACTGTTATAAGAGAGGGGAGAGATGGGACTCAGCTCCAAACCCAATAAGAACAGGTGGGGTATATAGTCAAGGAGCAGGTTGGAGGGTGGGCATTTCTAGGAGGAAACCTCAAGGCCAAGGGGTTCTTGCTTAACCCACTTCATAAGATCCTTGCTGAAGGCAACCTGGGTTATCAAACATCAAGCGTGGGGGGATTCTCTCCAAACTGATCTGGCAGGGTTCCTGCTACTGTAACTGGGCTATGCAGGCCCAGCAAGGACAGGGCGAAGGTCGAGGCCTGGTCAAGAAGAGTTCTCAGAGAACCTGACTCAAATATGATCATGGAGAGCCTTTGTCCTTCACAGCCATTTTGACCCAGGGGGTCCTGCAGCTACTGTGACACTCCAAGAACTGGTTTTCCTTCATGAGAGACGATAAAGAAATGAGAAAGGAGACAATCTGGATCCCAACTCAGGGAATATTTTGAGTCCTGGCAAAATTTGTGGTGGCCCACCCAAGAGGCCGGCCCTGACTCCTTCTTCCCATGAGCTTGCCTCTCAAGGGAGGAGACAAAATGCCAAAGACTTGCCTTCCCAGCCTTCCTTGTAGCTGGAAGCACCTTTATGATCCAGTTCTGGCCACCAAAAGAGAAGGACAATTCTCCCAAGTAGCTTTTGGGAAATGTCTTCCCATCTGGATGCGGAGTGGGAAGATACCATGCCAGTTACTAAGGCAGTCACTCCCCACCATGAGGTGGCAAGCCTGAGGACAGGGAGCGTGGTGACGATGGAACGAGGGGAGCTGGGCCCTTGGTGACATTGCTGAGCTGTTCCACCAAACCCTGAACTGTCTGCACCCAGACTCCTTAATGAGGTAAGATAATTAGGTGGCTTTCTGAAGCAAGCTCTTCTTTTGTAGGTGTTCTACAACTCACAGTCCCAAACTTTTCTAATACCCCCACCCCTGCAAAGCTGGAATCTGTAAAGGATACAGAGACATCTAAGCCTTGGACATTATGCTCAATGTCCTTCAAAATTAAACAACTTAGAATATAAACAAGTTTTAGACTAAAAGTAACAGCAACTCCACTCATGGGAGTTTTTCCTCAGAACATCCAAAGATATCTACTTAATTATAACACATGATAGAGAAAATACAGACATACCCTAAATGTTCCACAATAAGAGTTGACATTACAGCCTGCCAATATATATTGAGAAGTCATTAAAGATGACACTGCACTTAAGAAAGGAATTCTCTAGGCAATAATCAGAAAAAAAACAAACAGGTGATTATCTTGATATTACATAAATTCCATCTTGTGCAGAAAAACATCTCCAAGTCTAGGTTATGTGTAAAGCTGTCAGCAGTGATTATCACTATATGGTGGAATTATTATTGATTTTAATTTTCTTTACACTTTTCTGTACCTTTTGTATTTGGTGCAATGAACACATCTCTCTTTTACAACAGTTCCACTAAGAATGTTTCAAAATGCAACCGATTGGGAAGACTAGATATCTAACAGAGCACAGTGGAGAGCTTTTAAACATCTAACAAGTATTTGCAGAACAGTATAGTATGAGGGGGTAGGGTGGAGAGTACCAAAAATAGATCCACAGTCCCACACACAGTCGTGGCTTCAAAGACCAAGTGCCTACTTGGGGGAACTAAGACATATGCAGGTGAAATGACCCCATCCACTTCTGCGAGCTGTAGAATATGTGTCACATAGCCCATCCTCCCCAATGACATGATATATATCGAAGTGAAACTAAATTGTGTTTGCCTTTTACAAAAAAACTCTACACAAAGATTTTTGTATTATATCTAGTATGGACAAAATGTAATTCAGGCATTGAGTAAAGCTTCTAGGAAATGCTTTCAGGCCTTTTACATTTTGGGGTTTTTAAAAGATTTTTATTTATTTATTTGTTCGTTTATTTATTTATTTATTTATTTGACAGAGAGGGAGCATGCGCAAGCACAAGCAGTGGGGAGCAGCAGGTAGAGGAAGAGGGAGAAGCAGGCTCACTGCTGCGCAGACAGCCTGATATGAGACACGATCCCATGACCCCAGGATCATGACCTGAGCCGAAGGCAGACACTTAACTGACTGAGCCACCTAGGCGCCCCAGGCATTTTAAGTTTTGCCTAAGAATTATTTGCAAAGTCTTTATTTAACGCTCTGTCTGAACCTAATTCACAACAAAGCCTCTTGTATTTCTTCGAGGCATAAATATGTCAGAGAATCTCTCAATTTCTAGAATACTTCCAAATCATAGTGTTATCCCCTTAAACTCTGTGACGCTCTGATCATCACTTACTCAGTGCAACTCTGATCCTCCCTCAGCAACATAGCTTACTTCCTGAGTTTGACCCTCTTTGCCAGTTTCCCAGTAGATTCTAGCTAAATAGGTAGCCTTCTAGATTGGAACAGCATTGAAGCAATCAAGATTACATTTAACATTTGAGTACGGAAGAAGTTGGTGAAAGCTGGCAGAACACATTATCCCAAAATATGCCACGATGGTGTAAGGACTATTTTGAGCTAAAGACACCTGAAGAAGAGCAGATGCAAAAAAGTCATTCTGACCTCCCCTTTTCCGGGAACCAGAAGTTCAGACTCTCATGTGAAAGCTGCCCTCCCTAGCCCCAGGAGAAAAGAAACATTATCATCCCCAGAGACAGGGAATGGAGGCAGAAAGAAATCTGTACAAACAGATCTCTTTAAAGTAACTTATCTTCCTCTAGTTTCCCTGTGTGTTTTAGTTACTTTTCCATAATTACTACTCTCTGATCAAGCTAGTTTATAAGCACTTGGTCCAATCTGCCCTTTGGATCTTCATTTTCCTCTGGGGGCTTCCATATCCATGCAAAACTCTGTATGTTTCTCTCCTGTTAATCTTTTTTACATCAATTTAATTGTCAGGAGCAGCCAGAAACCCTAAAAAGGTAGAGGTAAAGTTATGCCTCCCCGATTACGTTCTACGTTTATTTACTAAAACTGTCAGTTGGGTTCACTGAGCCACCCAAGATCCAGATAGTATTGATTCATCCCTCTCTTGGGGTCACCTCTGGCTCTGGGAAGACTAGATATCTAACAGAGCACAGTGGAGAGCTTTTAAACATCTAACAAGTATTTGCAGAACAGTATAGTATGAGGGGGTAGGGTGGAGAGTACCAAAAATAGATCCACAGTCCCACACACAGATAGACTGCTTCTGCTGAATTCTTTGACTTTACGGATCATCCTGCCATCCTGTCCCTGGGGCCATTGCTCCACATACCCAGTCCAGGCATTGGCCTCAGACCATTTCCCCCATGCACACAGGGGCGGGCGTGTGTGTGTGTGTGTGTGTGTGTGCGCGCGCGCACACATGGACACACCTGTGTGGGAAATGTTCTGCTAAAAATCAAGGCACGGCCCTCTCACCTCTTTCCTCCCACCCCCAAACGTGGGAACTAGGTTCTCCGTTGGTCGCTCTGGCACCCTTTGGCCAGTACCTTTGGCATCGCAACTTCTTTTTTATTCATTCACTCAACAAATATTTATTGAAGACCTACTGTGTGCCAGGCACTGCGCTAGGGAAGAAAACCAGTCATGATCCCTAACTTGAGAGCTCACAGTCTCTGGTCGAAGACAAACCTTATTCAAAGAATGACCCCATCAAGTATAGTTCCTCTAAGTGCTTTTTCCTAACTTGGTATTTTGAAATACTTCAGCCTCACAAAGTAATACCATAGAATATTCCTGTGTATCCTTTGCCCAGCTTCCTTCAGTAAAAACATCCTATATAATCATGGTAGAATGATCAAAACCAAGAAATTTACACAGATACAATACCATTACCTAAGCTATGGCACTTACTGGATTTCTCTAAGTGCTGTTTATGACATTAATTCTTCAATCATTGTAACAATCATAGGAAGTAAATACTATCATTGCTCATTTTATAGAGGCAGAAACTGAGATTCAGAACAGTTAACTTAGCTTGCTGAAGATTCCAGCGTGGAAGTGGCCAAGTGAGGAACAGAAACATGGGCAGCCCAGCTCTAAGGAACCTGCTCCTCCCACTGAACTATATACTACTGGCTCTCAACATGACCCTGGCCAGCCAAAGCAGCTGTCCTTGCTCAAACCTGAAGAAACTTACTCTCATCGCACTACAATAAATTACGCTAAAGAGCCAGAAGAAGTTGTAATCCTTGGATGCCGTCTTTAGAGCCCAAACATTTGCTTCCAACATCAAAGTTGGCTTCGATAGGCTTCCCGAAGGAAATACTATTGCAACCACTATGGACAAAACAATGTTCTTTAGGCTAACAAAGGCTGACTTGCAAACATTTCCCTCCTGTGGAAAATAACTTCAGTTGATACATTTTGACTCTCAGAAGGAAGTTGCTTTGTAAGAAACTGCAAGAAATGCAGATGTAGGTCAGACACTGCCAAAACAAAGGCTTCAGAAAACACTGGCTTCCTCTCAACATCAAACCATTTCCAAGAGTCTCTCTCCCAACGTAGCTCAATCCCGAATGAGACATCCTTCACGAGTCCGCCTGCACCAGAATCATTTGAGATTAACTTGGGTTTGCTCTTCTCCGTAGCTGCCCTTCCTCTGCTTTCTAGCAGATAGCCAGGCCCTTTGGAACTGCTTGCCTTCTGGATTTTGGAAAGCGGAATGCACAAGAGCTTGTAGTCAATGTCTCCTTC